AGCTGAAACGCCGTGGGCTGGAGGGGACGGGAAGGGCTCTGGGCAGGCGCTGGGGAGCAAAGGGCACCACATCGCTCAAGTGGGTTCCCTGCACCCCTCCACGGCAGGATGCGGGCGGGGGCTTTCCTGGGGCCAGGAGCGGGGTTGTGCGATGGCCGGGACCTGGGATGAAGATGAAACTGGAGGGGACGGGACTGTGACAGGGGCACAGGAGGAAGGGTAAAGTCTCCAGTTTCAGTGCTGGCCTGCCTTTTCTGCACTGCTGGAGTCACAGATGGGTTTGGAACCAGCCCAGAGTGAGAAGAGCTGGTATACCTGAGCTTAAACATGGCAGAGCCCTAAGCTGCTGCAGATAGAGCAGATCCTCTTTACGGTAATTTATCAGGTGCACTAAGGGAGGATGAGCCCAGGCCTGACGCCGCCTGGGTTGATTTAGCCATGAATCATATGAATCGTAGCTGTGCTTCTGCTCTGTGGCACTGCTGGGCGGGGGGGCTGGCTCCCAAGGCTGGAGAGGCTGGGTAAACATGGCAGAGCCCTAAGCTGCTGCAGATAGAGCAGATCCTCTTTACGGTAATTTATCAGGTGCACTAAGGGAGGATGAGCCCAGGCCTGACGCCGCCTGGGTTGATTTAGCCATGAATCATATGAATCGTAGCTGTGCTTCTGCTCTGTGGCACTGCTGGGCGGGGGGGCTGGCTCCCAAGGCTGGAGAGGCTGGGGCTTGCAGGATGAAGTGAAGCTCCCATCTAAACTGAGCATCAGCAAGTCTCTGAAGGAGGGTGAAAAGCTAGAGAAGGAAGGCGAGGGCGAGGAGGTGCCTGTGGGTGAGGACCATGCAGAGGAGGACCACATCCAGCTCTCCTCAGATGAAGAGGTGGAGATTGAAGAGATTATTGAAGAGTCACGGGCAGAGCGCATCAAAAGGAGTGGCATGAAAAGGGTGGATGACTTTAAGAAGGCATTCTCAAAGGAAAAGATGGAGAAGACTAAGCTAAAGACCAAGGAAAACCTGGAGAAGACCCGCCATAACTTGGAGAAGACCCGCCACAACCTGGAGAAGAGGATGAACAAACTGGGCACCAAGATTGTGACTAACGAAAGGAGAGAGAAGATGAAGACCTCTCGGGACAAGCTGAAGAAGTCTTTCACCCCTGACCACACCATCTATGCCAGGTCCAAGACAGCCGTCTACAAAGTGCCACCCTTCACTTTCCATGTCAAGAAAATAAGAGAGGGAGAGGTGGAAGTGAAAGCCACGGAGCTGGTGGAGGTTGGTGGAGAGGAGGGAGAAAACTCGGATCTGCTGCGTGGGGAGAGCCCCGAGATGCACACACTGCTGGAGATCACGGAGGAATCCGATGCGGTACTGGTGGACAAGAGTGACAGCGAGTAGGACAGGCTGCAGCGCGGAAGGGTTGTGGACGACGGCTGAACATGTAATCATTCACATTTCGAGATCTCTCTCTGCCCTGGTGCCCCAGGGGAAGTGTACACAATGCATCTTTACTACCCTGCAGAGCCGACGCCAATCCCCTGCCTGCTAGGACAAGGTGTATTTTATATTTTAGTTTTAGCACACAGAAATGTTAGGAACACAGGACTGTTTTTCTTACACTGTTAAATCACCCTTGGAGACCATTCCTGCCGCAGGCTGCGTAAGAGCCTTCTAGCACCAGACCTGAAGATGGGCTTTGAGTGACGGGGACCCTGCCCAGCTGGAGAGTGCTAAAACCAAGATTACAGCTGTACACCTGGAAAGCTCAAGTGTCCTCCATAAGCAAAGACCTGGTGTCAAGAAAGCTTCCTGCCAAGCAGCCGCCGGCCCACGTCACCCTGGCTCCCTGTGCCAGGCTGCATGGCTATTCCCGCAGGCAGGAAGACTCCCAGCACCCAAGCTGGCCGCCCCTTTGGGGGAGCAGAGGAACTGTGGTGCACCCAGTGTGCGGGAGGGAAGAGCCGAGCAAGGCCTGTTGATGGGCAGAGCACGGGCGAAGCTCAGCCAGCCGCGTGGCAGGCAGGCGGGTCTGCTCCTCTCTGCCCTCCCGACGACTGGATTACGTGGCGGTGCCTGGGATGGCTTTGCCACAAAGCCGCCCTGCAGCTGGGACTGCCATGGGTGCCCGTGTGGCAT